TAATTTATCTTCCAGAGTGTGTTTTAGTTTATTATTCATGCTTGAAGGCCTTCATCTCAGTACTTGCATGAGTTACCATAGGCACGAGGAGCCAGGGTGCCCTCGCTATAGAGGCTGGGGCCAAATGGAAACTGATGTCATCTGAAGTAGACAGGCAAGTGACACATAAAATTCAACTCTGAGATGATTAACAGAGAGATATGGGCCTGCTTCTTGCATTATGTTTTAAAGACACAGCACACACTCTCGGAAAGAAAACAGAGAATGGGCCTTTTCTTCAAGCTGGGATATGCCTGCAGGGAGGCCTTTATTAGGTTTGGATGTCTATCTAATGCACATTGAAACCTTGCATCTCATGCCATCATCTGGTCTCTTTGGCTTGGAGCAATTGAAGACATCACAGGGAACTGCCCTGTCAGACCCTTGGTCCATCTTGCTCAGGACTGTCCATATTAGTAACAGCAGTTGTGAATTCAGGCAGGATTTCCCCCCAGCCCTGTCTGGAGAACCTGGGGTTTGAACTTCGTACGTCTTAATGCTGCCCACATTTTTCAAATAAACATAATTTTCCTCCATATATTCAATAAACATTTTCCCAATCTTCTTTAAATGTGTGTTCTTCTTGTTCTCTTACTCTATATGTTAGGTCCGCAAGCTGCACATATTCCATCAATTTAAGTTGCCTTTCTTCTTAAGTTGGGACTTCACTTGATTTCCATTTTGGGCTAACAAGCACTGAACCGCAGTAGTGGCATACATAAATAAAGATCAGGGGACAACCTTTCTCATGGTATTGGTCAAGGCACATTGCAAGTGCTTTTTTGTAGAAATCTAAGAATTGGCCTGGGGATTGCATCAAACACTGTCTTTCCCTGGGTTCCTGCACTGTAAGAACCTAAGGAAGTATGCATCACTGGAGGAACTGTGGTGGTGAGCCAAGAGTATATATGCAATACAGGTGGCAGCCATTTTGCACGGGGTTTCTGTTCCTGGCCCCTGCATGCGTCAGCGGAGCATGCATAAGCCCATCCCATCATGCCCCGTATTGGCCCATTCTGCCCAACCCCATTCTGCCCCTGTATTGCCCTCTTCTGGGTACAAAAGGAACTGCACGGCAGCAGTCACACGTTAATTGGAAGTGTACAAAATAGTCTATACAAACTTATGGAAGTTACATACCCATTTCAACTAGCATGACTTCTCCCAAAGAAATGTAGCTTGGTGAGCTCTCTCAGGGCAAAACTCTATCTCACATTAGCTACATAGGTGTGCCTATTTTTATCTTTGCACACTGCCTAGTGACTATTGTAGTTAAGTGGTACATAAATTGTTTAAATAATAATGGAAATAAGAAGAAAAGGAAGAAGAGGAAGAAGAAATCTTATATTGGAAGGAAAACCAAGTCAGGCAACATCCGTCATCCGTACAATTATCAGGGACATCTCCCACTGCTATTGCCTCTTTGGTGTCACAAGAAACAAGAGAAAAAGCTGTGGCACAGTGCTACAGATGAGCACCCTATGATATTTCTTCTTCCTCACTTATGCAAATGAACTGTTCTGGCCATCCAATCAGGAAACATGTTGCCCTGCTATCTAACCTTCTTATTGGCACCCAATTCAAAGCTACAACATTTCATGTTCCTTCAAGGCAAATTGCACAGCTGATTTGCAACAGCCGCTGCTCCAAATGTGCACCGTGGGGAGACACTTGCGTTCAACACAAACACAGCTAATTCCTACATTGATGTGGCTGCCCAGAGACATTTACTGAGAAGTCAGTTCCAGTGTGACTTATTTCCTGTAGATATGCTCAACAACCCAGTAATACTCAGGCCTCTTGTGTTTTACCCTTCCAACATAAATTCTATGGAAAGGGTAAATGCTGACCAAACTGAGTGCTGAATCATGGCCAAGAGGCAATCCGAAAGAAGCGATGGAGATAGTTGCCTGGAAGCATTTACTTCCCGTAGGTACATAATCACAAAGCTCCACCACACAGATATGGCAGAGGTTAAGAACTGGGCAGGCAGATGAAGAAGCGGGAGCCAAATGCCAAGAAGATGAAGGTGGTGGCCATCTGGCTGCTCAAAGCAGAAATCAGAAGATGACCTTGGTAGTTCTACAGCAAGATATATGAATGGGAAAAGAGGTGACTGATTCAGCAGATGGATTCTGTTTGACTCAGAGAAAGGACGGGAGGGAAAGTAGAGAAAGGCAAGGGAAGAAGCTCAAGAAGGAAAAGAAAAGTAGGATAGGGTATAGGAATGAAAAGAGGCCAGGAGCCAAAGAGGTAAGGAAGGCTGTAATTGTCAGCTGTGGGGTGATGGCTGCTTTGAATGTAGTGTCCTTATCATATTCTATTCTGTTCTATACAGGTTTCCCCAACATGGTTTGAGGGCATTTTTTAAAGCCAGAACTCACCAGAACTCAGTTCTGGCACCTATCAGGTGGGCGCCATTGCCATTACAGTCATACCTCATGTTACGATAGCTTCAGGTTGCGTGTTTTCAGGCAGTGTCCTGCGGCGACCCGGAAGTAACAGAATGGGTTCCTTCCGGGTTTTGACGCTCACGCATGCACAGACGTGCAAAATGATGTCACACGCATGCGCAGAAGCGGTGAATCGCGACCTGTGCACACGCAGATGCGGGTTGCGTTCTGTTCAGGTTGCGAACTGGCCTCCAGAACGGATCCCATTCGCAACCAGAGGTACCACTGTATAAGCAAACAAGGGAGGCATGCTTGGTGAGTTCTGGCAACCCTTTTTCTAGAAAAATAACACTGCATGGTTCCCTCCAGACATTTTGAACTACGACTCCCATCAGTCTCAGGGCCAGTGCTCAGGATTGATGGCAGTGGTTGGCCATTGGGGGTTGGGAAGGCTGTTCCACACTGAAGTGTGCCAATAGGCTGTGATTTAAATTAGGGCAGGGACAGCGCAGAACACCACTTCCTTCTGGACAACTAACCCTCTCCTCCCACCCAAGGCCTGACATTACGCAAGATCTCTCAAACCACTCACTTTCCTCCTGCCATTTTCTAACATGATCAATCGTAACACAGTGAAGTATTGAAATTCTCTTAAGTTCATTTTGTTTTTATATGGCCAAAGTCAGCATGTACAACCAGTGCCATTAAAAATTGATAATTCCACATAGTAGAAAAAAGATATCAAAAAGCATAATTTAATACATCCTCACTGGAAATGTTATGAATTGCGCATGTCCCCCTGCTATATGCCCAATAAAGCTAATTATCACAGCTGTCTACTTTTAAAGTTATATTCACAACCAAAATAATTCTCCCTCCTTCCCCAATTCTCTCTTCTTCCTTTCTTTAAGGAAAATGAAAAGTGAGAGGTTTATCATCCTCCCTGGTAGATAGTCAGATGCAAAGCATACATAATTCAATGAAAGAGCTGTTTGAAAGTTTGTGAGACTAAAGTCTTGGCCTAAAGTCTCACATGCATTTACATTGCTTGATAACGTCCCACTCATCACCAGGGATGAGCAAATACGCCTGTTTTGGTTTCCCTGAATTTCTCATTTTTTCCAACCTTCAGTCCAGTTATCCTCATTTCCACATCAGTTTGTGAATTCTTCTTTAAAAATAATACTCATGAAAATCTGTCTGCAGTTTAGTGTAAATTTCACCTAATATATACATTTGTGTGCAATTTTGCCTAATACGCACATAATTGTAAGCAATTTCCCCTGAATACAATGCATTTTTGCATGCTATTTTCACCAATACATGCATTTTTATGCACAGTTTGCATTAGTACAGGATTTTTGTAACATTACTTGGGTGAGGAACTGCTTTGTAAAACCCAGAGAATGGTGAATTTTGAAAGATGACTGTGTTTTGGAGCACATATTCTTTCAGGAAGTGTAAAATAGGTAGATTTGCCTTTAGATGCAAACTGAACTGAATTTATCCCTCATCTCTAACTGCCACCTGCCTGTACTGAACAATATTCTTAATCTGTATGTTACCCAAAGAACGCGAGCTTTTTATTGGCTGAAAGATAGATAAATGGACCAGATCCAGGAGCTCTTGGAGGAAACTGATTTTCTAGGTCCTTTTCAGTTGGGATTTAGGCCTGCCTTTGGCACAGAAACAGGTTTAGTCACCCTGCATGGTGAACGCAGTCAGAAATAAGACTGGGAAAATGTGCCCTTGTTAATTCTCCTTGATCTCTCAGTGGCTTTTGATCCCATTGACCATGCTATCCTTCTGGAGCGGCTGTCTGAGTTAGGGGTGGGTGGTACCACTTTGCTGTGGTTCCAGTCCTACTTGGATGGTTGTTTCCAGAGAGTGGTGCTTGGGGAGTGCTCTTTGGCCTTGTGGAACCTTCAATGTGCAGTTCAACCTGTAGCCATAAATGTGTGAAATCAACGTAAGAAATGCCAAGTGTTCAATGGAGAGGGCTTCACACACCTCTGAGGACCATGTTTGACCATTTGCTTTCTATCCAGCTGCTGCTGCCTGAACCCGAGATAGAGAAGGCAAAGCTTCTTATTCAAAGAAGCATCAAAGTGCTCTGATGCTTCCTCAAATAGGGTAACCAGATACAAAACCTCAAATGGTTGTGGAGAAGAAGGCAGTTTGGCAGCTGAAGCTTGTTTGCAGAAGTGACTGAATAAAACAGTCTGAATCCGGAAGGTGAAGTGCTTGGCAAACTTGACTGAGTCATAAACAGAGAGGCTAAACAAAACCATAGCAGCAAGACTGCTGCAAACACCAGTTTATGAAGTCTCTTGACTAAGTAGCCAGACAGCACAGCAGGTCAGGCCAGGTTTCTAACAGACTGAGTTCTAACGCAATTCTAAGCCAAACCATGTGTGAGTGGGGAGGTTGCCAGAGAGGAGACCACAGTGGCTTTGGCCCTCCTCTGGTTGTGCTGCTTGGCTATGAGCTAAGCCATGGTTTGGCTGAGCGTGCTGTCTGAACCTGAGCTCCTGGTCTGTCTTGCTCCGAACAAGCCACCAGTTGCAACCAAGGTTTGTTCTTGGCTTTTCGTGACAAACCATGAACCTGCATTTGGATGCTATGCCAAGTCACTCTAAGCCAAATCACTCCAACACATACTACACTTGATCTTAGCCAAAAGGCCGAGAAGCGACCACTCCAACACAGGTTACCCTACAAATTTGAGAAAGATTGCAAGTCTTCTCTTCTACACATCTGCTCAGAAGTGGCTCCATAAAGAAAAGAAAGAGGTGCAGAGCCTTGGGCTAGTGTAGCGAGGGGGAGAAGCAACCTGGATCTCCCTGTCCAGCTGGAACAGAAAAATAGAAAGCCCCCCCCCCATCCACATGTGCTCTGAGAGAGCTCAACACAAGGCAGTCAGACAGAGTTTGTAACAGACTACTTCATGAGAATTACATTGCTTCTTCTAAGTACAGGCCTGAACCTCCCCAACCTGGAGGCGGCTTTGCCTCCTTCAGTTTTGATCAGAAATAGGTCCCACAACAGTCCACTGTTCAATAGTTCCCCCCATCTGATGCAGTAAGCATCCAGCACATTTTCTCTGCTCTTCTGTCAGGAGTCCAGTCCTCGGCTTGATCACACAGCAAGCTTATTAATTAAAAAGGATGATTTACTGTCAAAACAACAGATAGCTCCAGACACAGATAGCTCTAACACAGCCTCCCGGCATCATCAATCACGATGACCCTTCTGAAGACCCTTTCCGGTTACAGAAGATATTGAACTTTCTCACTTTGCGCCTCTTGCTTTGCTTCGGGTCGAACTGCCCTCCCCTTAGCCTACTCTTAGGAGGGATTTGCTCAGCTCCAATCTCTTCCTGTTCTGACAAACGGCTTCCTTCTCTGGTCACGCCAGTTTGCACTTCTCGAGAGCGCATTGGTTGGGTTCTGGCCTGCTCTCAGCCATTCCCTTATCAACTGGCATTCCAAGGGGGTGGGGGAGTTGGCACTAGGTGATGCTTATCCTGCATGGCAGTTAACCCTCTCTGTTCCTGGCTGCTTTCTTCAGCTGGTTGCAAACCTTCCCTGGGAGCTGGCTGCAAACCTTCCCTGAGAGCTGGCTCATTCATGACATCTTCACAGGTGAGAGAAGAGGGGAGGAAGAATTCAAGGCCTGTGGGTCATCATGGTGTCTCGGAGTGGTGGCTAAACCTATTTCTGATCATAACTTCTGGTTTCTTTCCCACAATAGATTGAGTTTTTGTTATTATATTCTTCCAAATCAAAATACTTGTAAGGCAGCAGATGTTGTGTGGGTGAGAAATCACAAGGATGTTCTTTAGGCTTTTCTGCAACTCAATCTTTTCAGGCTCTCTTTCTCAGTCTTTCTGAGACTCTTAGGCCCAGGCCCTGCCTGAAGCTCTAGATCCTTTATCTGCTTCATTGCAGAGCCTGGGCCAATAACAACCACAGGGGGCTTCTCTTCCACTGATTGTCCATTTAGGCACTGAAGGAGTCCCAGGTATAGTTGCTGTGGGTTCCCTTGCTTCTTCGCTCCAGCTGGTTAAGGCTTCGGATAATGCTTAGTGTGTGTTTGCATATGTACATGTGTATGCGTGAGTGCATGCACATTCGTGATCAGGATGAAGCAGAACAGCAGGCACTGTGAGTGGCAAAGCAAGGTGTGGCTACAATAGGGATGGTAGGGCAGAGGTGAGCAGGAATTTCAGCTAAAGCATCCAACCTCTGCTTAAAAACCTCCAAGGAAAGAGAGTCCACCACCTCTTGTGGGAGTCTGTTCCACTGTCAAACAGCTCTTACTGTCAGAAAGTTCATCCTGATATTTAGTTAGAGTCTCCTTGCTTGTAACTTGAATCCAGTAGATCAGCAAGGGTTTCTGACTCACAATAGGAACAAGAAAAATGTCTTTCCGCACCTAAATTAGGTAGCTGAAATGAAGATATCTCACCAGACATGGACTTTGGCATGCAGTTATGCTACTGAGAACAAATTCCCAGGCGCAGAATGTGCTCAGAATCCCCTTGTTAATTAATTCTGTATTTCTGCGTGTGACTCTTGTTATTAGATTTAGGAGTTCTATAAAAAACCAAAGGAAATCCCAGGTAGAAACCTGTTCTAGAGAATGAGGCAGAAGCTTCCTCCCAGGCCAGTTGGGATTGATGGGGCCTATAGGACATCTCCATCAGGCATTTCACCTGTTTCATTACTGCGACTGCAAATGAGACATGAGGCACCTGCAAGTTTCTATAGACTTTGTTGAATAGGAATGGCATAGCTCAAGTTTATCCCATAGCGACACTGTTCAGCCCCCTGTGCAAATAACAAGTGACTAATCTAATCATGGAGCTCTGGAGGTTACTGTCCGTTTGCGTCCTCCTCCTCTGCATCATCAGGCATATGGTTTCTCCAAAGCGGTTGTGAGACTGAGCATTGTTCCCCAAAACACACATGCCAAGCGGCATGGCATTTCCTTCTTGGAAGGGTGCTTAAGATGTAAGCGAATACTACTGCACTAAACAAATGATGCACTGACCACCCCATATAAGAGGATATAAGATGTAAGCAAATAGTAGCTTACTTGCCACCAGACTTAAGTTACTCCCCTGAATAAGGGAACACAAGATAAAGGGTCCAGCAAGGTGTTAATTTTGGGATGGGTGTATGCATCCCTCCCCGCCCAGCATATCCACAATGTGATTGGGTTGAAAATGCCAGCCTGTGTTCTCCTCTCTCCTTTAATCCCAATTTACACATTCTGGAGGAAATCCAATAGGTTAAATAATAAAAAAAAGGTTGCCAAAGAACTGTTTGCAACATCTGAACGACCTCTTTGCAATATTAAGTCCCCATCTGGAAGCATTCACAATCCTTTTTGTTTGCTTTTTTTGAAAGGAGGGGGTAGCTAGGTCTGACATTCCAAAACATTGGGGCAGTGCAGTTCCAGCCATTATCAGCTGTCACAGTGAGCAAACAGGAGTTATACATGCGGGCACTGTATGGATTGTAGGGCTCTGAGCATTGCTCCTTGCTCATCAGACTTGTTGCATCGTCACACTGAGGCAAGATGCATTGGGCAATGTGGGGAATTAATCGATGAGAAAATTAAAAACTCTCTCTATCACACACACACACACACACACACACACACACACCAAACACCTCCCACATATCTAATTGGACTGTGGGCAGCAAATTAATAGGAAAGCTGCTGGCTGCTTCTGAAATCAGAGGAGTTGGCAATCCTACAATGGAGCTGGTTGGACTTGTTCCCCCGCCCCCATCTCATTTGGAAATTTAGTGACAGAAGGATGATTTCAGGCTAATTCCTCTCTGGAATGCTAACATACAAGCACCCAGAAACTGACATTTTACACAAAGCAACGCTTGATCCAGACAAACAATATAGCTGGGACGTGATTGCAGAGCAAGCTTCCTTCTTTCTCTCCCCGGCCCCCTCCACCCGCCAGGCATTTTTCTGCCGCCACCTGCGATAACAAATCAAAATGTTCAACATATTGCATCCTCAAAATTAAGCAATATTGGATTGAATGAGTACGTCCAGCGCTTTTAATAACTCCATATTAATGTGCAAAGGATATGAAACCATTATGCTAAGAGAATCTCGGTCAAGGATATCCGACCCAAAGTTTGACCTGCTGAATACCGCAGCAGACCCCTTAATGGGAAGAGAGTCCTTGGGAGACTAAAGATCTTCCTGTTAAGTAAAAGAGCTCACCTCCTGTCACACAGAAAATTGAAATTTAAAAACAAACTTGCCATAGTCACCAAGGGGAGATGCCCTTCAGAAGCTTGGAGGTCAGATCAGAAGCTGCTGGAAACCAGCAGTGTAAGAACCACAGAACCCTAAATCTGAAGCAGACTGGTGGAGCTTTTTCTGACATAAGAGTTCTAATCTGTAGCAAATCCAAATTGTTAAAAGAACCTAAGATAAAAGCAACAGCAATTTTTAAGTTTTTGGATATTACAGAGAGAATTGGTTCCTTTTAAGATCTACAGATGGAACCAGAATGGTCTGTGTGGACAAGCATTTGGGATCCTGAATTACACTTTGAGCTTGTTGAAAGACTGCTTTCTATTAATCCAGAGTACCCAGGCTGCACCAAATAACATCATATTGAGGAATGGCATGAAAAATCACAGCCTTTGTTTCTGACTTACTGTTACCATGGCTGATTCATGTAAATCACGTTTTGAAACCAAGGAAGCTCACCACAACTGAAGAGGGGTTTGGAAAACTAGTTTTCCCTGCAAAACTGCAAAACCCACAAGACATTTCATTGCTTGGTGGAGGACAAGATGGCAGCTCCCCACAATCTATGTAAAAAAGTCAACCAGACTGGCAGTGGAATCTTTCTGGTGATGGGCCAGTGTCCTCCTCTCCACCTGAAGACATGTCATGGATTGGTTGGATGCAGAGGAATGGTAGGAAGAACCAGTTGGGCAACTACCAATGGAAGAAGGTTCAGAGGCTGGGAAGTGGTGGTGGGATGACAGTGAGTGGTCAGAGGAAGAAGCTGGAGAGGACTGGGAAGAGGAGGTGTTGGAAGCTGAAGAGGTAAAAGAATCTCTGGGAGATTCTGTGGCAGAGAGAAGTCCAGAATCAGAGGCAAAAGCTGAAGCAGGCGAATGAGAGTAGGGAGGCCAAGAGCCAGAGATGGGTTAGGCTGGTAAAGAATAACTGAATCAAAGAATCATAGAGTTGGGTCATCAGTCCAACCCTCTGCAATGCAGAAATCTCAACTAAAGCATCCAGAGCAGATGGCTATCTAATCTCTGCTTACAAACCTCAATTGAAGGAGAGTTCACAACCTCCCAAGGGAGTCCGTTTCAGTGTCAAACAGCTCGCCCTGACCTAGCCACTGTGATCCATGCGACGATCACCTCCAGACTTGATTATTGTAACTCACTTTACATGGGGCTGCCCTTGAGACTGACCCAGAAACTCCAGCGGATGCAGAATGCTGCGGCGAGACTCCTTACTGGGTCCTCACCGCGGGATCACATTCACCCGGTGCTCTACCACTGCACTGGCTCCAGGTGGAGTACAGGATCAGGTTTAAGGTGCTAGTTTTAACCTTTAAAGCCCTATACGGCCTAGGACCCTCGTACCTACGGGACCGCCTCTCTTGTACCTATGGGACCCTGGGTATGTC